GACCACGAGGGGACAATCCGGGGACAGCAAGGGGACAATGAGGGGACCGCACGGGGACAAACAGTCAGTGGAGAGCTAGGGGAGAACGAGGATACAATAAAAGGACAAGTACTCACTAAAGACAGAGCGACTAGGGTAAGCCGTAGGGCGCAGTAATTTTTATGTATAAGAAAATATGCAATATATTCAATATATTGACACATTGAAGTCTCAATATATACATATATATATACATTTGTTTTTTATATATGCACATATATCAAAATAGTTATATTAAAGCACTTTCGTCATACCAAAGTAAACATTTTACACCGAAGTATACATCTTAAAAATCTTACAACCTGTCTTCGTAGAGTGGAATAGGGAACTGTCATGTCGAAACCTTGTACGTTTATTGGAACTCTGCAAGCCAACCTTCTGTGGACAAGTCATGTGGAAGCATGTTGGGATTTTGCATTGTTTTGCCAACGTCTGGAATGTCAAATGCTACTGAAATCAAGTAAGGTGCTGTCGCCATTAAGTGTCAAGGCCAATTGAGCCAGCGACCTATGCCTCTGGGGAAAATTGGTGCATGTCTGTTCTGTTTGCAACAAAAAGTCAACCTTCTGGTGCAACATTGTGCTTATCTGCAAAAGCTGGCATCTCTAAGTCCAGCTTCAAGGCCACAAAAACCTTAAACCTTCTGGCGCAACATTCTGCTTATCTGCAAAGCTGTCATCCCTACATCAAGGTTTCAACATGTTAACCATATGGTACAGCACAAGACTTTCCTCAAAAAATTCCCACTCAAGTGGTGCAAGGTTCTGCTTATCTGCAAATCTGTCATCTCTACATCAAGGTTTCAACATGTTAACCATATGGTACAACACAAGACTTTCCTCACAACTTCCCACTCAAGTGGTGCAAGGTTCTGCTTATATAACATTCTGCTTATTATCTGCAAAGCTGTCATCTCTACATCAAGGTTTCAACATGTTAACCTTATGGTACAACACAAGACTGTACTGAAAACTTCCCACTCAAGTGGTGCAAGGTGGGTTTTGGGGGGGGGGCTAGCATATATATATATATATTTACACATACATACATACATAAAACATATTTGCCGATTCCCGATACTAATGGTTGGTTGATGACGATAGTTTGTTGAACGCCCGTGCCATTTTGGTTGCATGGGAAGTGCTGTTTTTGCCGGCGCATGTGTGCAGATCTGATGAACGATTTGACAATGGAGTACTTTGCTTCCTTCCGAGGCACACCTACGATTTCGCTTTAGGCTCCTGCAACAGCAGAAAGAAGTGGGTGGGAAGCTTATTGGTATATCAAAGATGTCACAGGTTTGTCAGGTTTGTAGATTGTAGAGGAGCGGTCGTCCAGTGATCCGAGGAGAACATCATCACACTTTTGGATGCGATGCAGGCAAGGAGCTCGTGAATTCCAGGATGGACCAGTGCTGCTTTTGAAACTCTCTTTTTTTTTTCTCCTCTCTCTCTCTATGTCCATAAACATTTGTTTTTTCATAGCTGATTTGTCAATTTCCGGTGCCCTGGTGCTTGCATCCAAAATTTCAATCGAGGCTTTTGGCTGATTGCGTTCCAGCAAGAATTTATGATGGTTTCTGACAACCTGTTCAGGTGGACGGTGTGCAGCTGAATTCCTCGTGCTACAGAACCGTCATGCACGGTGCTTTGGCAAAATGGGTAATGTTGAACTTGTGTTTCTTGCAAGCTTGTTTGCGGTCAAATTTTGGCACAGGATTGTCCTACTCACAGTACCACGAGCGCTGCTACGATCTCTATGTCCAGATGCGGGAGAATGGCGCCTTAGTCCTTCCCTGATAGTGTCAGGAACCAATCCTTTCACCACCCTTGGACCTTGGAACTGTCCCGTTTTCCACTTGCATTCACATGCACCCCGGCCCAGCCCGGCCCGGCCCGCCCCGCCCCGCCACGCCACGCACCCGCACACGCAGATGTGCATATTCACGCAGAATCTGAGTGTTTAGGTATATATCTTCAGTATATTTCAGGCGTAAGATTTCACTGCCGTCCACTGAATCTCTTGATGCCTATTCCTTTTGAGTGTTCGGATTCATGCGATTCTCAAGAGCCCAGCAGTCATTTGATTCAAGCTTTGTGAGGTATTTCCCCCGAAGAACATCACTTGTGTGATTTGTTGCGTGCTCTCTTCGGTGAAGAAGGGCAGCCGAGAGATAAGGAGAAGGCCTCCTTCATGCTTGAAGCCTCTTCTATGTCCAAACTTTGCAGTTGACCCCAAAAGAGTTTGATACCCTACCTACCGTGGGATGTCCAAGTTTGCTCACGTGTTGGAGTAGCAAGAGGCCATGCAGACCTTCCAGAGCCTCGTTGAAGACACTTCGGTGAAGTTCAGCGAGGTCCACTTCGACATCGCCATCAGCATGTGTGAAAAGGCTCGTGAACGCAGCACATCACGACCTGAGTGCAAAACGCTGCAAAGTCGCAGACAAACAGTCGTCCATTGCAGGAGGGGCGGTGGCGGGAGATCTTATCATTGGCCACCGCCATGGGTGGACGAGGCATCATCCCTCACTCCATGACCTGCAACGCGGTGCTTAAGGCCAGACTCTGCTAGTGTGCGTAGTTGACTGGGACAGTTGTGGATTGAAGACACTGTTGGATTGGGGTAGGTCCGGGTTGGACGCGAGCGGGTTGGATGATGGACTCGACCATGACAGAGGCCTGCGTTCAGCTTGGCAAATGGGAAGTGGCTTTGAAGCTCTTGGTTAGCATGGAGAGGGACGGCACTGAGCTGGAGCCTTGGCTATATAGTTTGGAAAGACTTGGGGACTTCTGAGTTTGTCACCCAGTTACTGTGGGCAGATTTCGCTAAACCTTTGCTCCCCTTTACTGTAGTTTTGCTATGCTTGTCGCTGCGTCCAACACGACAAGTGCATCCCAAATCTTGGGCAGCATTCGCTCTCAAACAACTACAAACCCTCGCAAAGATGTTCAATAGACTTGGCAAGTTCCCAATTAGGATCAATGTCCCAACTACAGTTTTTGTACCGAAGCACGTCCAGGTTTTGGATGTATTGTGGTTAGCTCATTGAGGCGTAAAGAAAAGTCGCAAAGTCCATCTCAGGATCGCATTGCCTACCTCACAGTGCTGACAGCCTGTGAAAGGGCCAGAAAGTGGGACGAGGCCAGTTTTTGTTGAAGGATTGCCTGTGTGACTGTGGGTGGCACATAAAATGGCGCATCTCTGAGAATTGCTTTTGCAGGTTCTGAAGCTCTATGCCGACATCGAAGAACGGTTCCCGTCCTTTGTCAACCCAGACATGAGGCTGCCGACAATTGCGGCCCTCTGCGAGGCCGGACCCGAGGAGTCGTAGGAGTCATTCCTTATTAAATTACGTAAAGGAATGTAAAGTTATATAAGTTATATATACTGTATATAGTTTTTTACACTCAAGGCCCGGGGGCCGGGGGGGTAGGCCATAGTTGGGGTAGCTAGTACCTACAATGTTACAAGTAAGTTACTACATATGGATGGACGCAGGATAGCTCATGATAGCTCACGCTTCTTCAAGGAAGCTCCCTCCGCCGCCCAAAGGTGGCGGGGGTAGCTTCCTTGAAGAAGCGCACGCACACGCGCTAATGATTTGGTTCCTAGATATTTAGGGAAACTTACCTTTGCCTTCGTTCGCGAGGTTGGGAGAGAAGATGAGGCTCGACCGCAACTGCTGCCAAGGAAGGGTCTGAAAAGAGATGAAACATATTGAACTAGCAACAAGGGCATCGCTACTAGTAGCAAGGACGCTACTAGTAACAAGGGCATCGCAGGTAAGGGCCCTTTAGGTCCCCTTATTTGCATGGAGTGCTCCAACCGAGGAAGCTATAGCATTGTACCGCGAGAGCTTTGGTTCAGCATTAGCCCGGCAGCAGTCCAGGCACCGATGCCGACTCTTGGCTTTTGGATTGGTGATCGTGTGCGGACCGAAGATCCGCGCAGGCGTCGAGGCAATGATCCCATCGTTTTGGATGCGTGCGGATCCCACAGACGGACACCTGGAGAACAGGCTAATTGAATCTAATTGATATGGAGTATGTTGAACCTTTTGCAACATTCGTTCCAAGGAGTTGTCGAAGGGTTTTACCCAAGCCTTCTTTGTAAAAGCAAGAGTTGTGAGGCGAAGATTGTCCCGGCAAGTTGTTCTGACCTCGATTACGGTTGGTCTCCGGCTGATTCTGCAGGCATCTCCTAAACCGGGGGGGGGATCTTGACCTAGGCTGGCATCATGATGAGATGTGCCTTGGAAGATTCGGCCAAGAGCTGGGTAGCCCAGGCTGACGGCAGCTTGAGTTTTCTCCGAGAGTTGGCTGCGACGAATCAGGTGCGGATGCTACAGCCGCAAGGGCTGCAAAGCCTATGGCCTTTATCTTGGCCGATCTTTTCCAGAGAAACACAAGAAGCTACTAGGAGCAAAGGGCATCGCTACTAGGAGCAAGGATGCTACTAGGGCCTAGGGGCTCCTGGCAGTACTACTAGGAGCAATGTAAGCTATTAGGCTTAAATCTGCCTTCAGAGATTCACAATGCAGTTTTTTACATGTAAAAACATGCTTTGTGAATCTCTGAAGGCCGATCTCTTGAAAGCGCCACGAGCTGAGTCCACTAAGGCCCTTGCTGGCTTCACCCCGACGGGGCTCAAGGCAGGTGTGGACTTCTAGAGGGCTCGCTTGTAAGTATTGCTGGCCCACATGGTTTGAATCGGTTTTAAGTAGACTTTCATGAGAGGCTTCAACAACCCGAAATCAAACGTTTTGGACCACTGTTCCTTGATTCATTGAATTGTTCCTTTCAACTTTAACCGGGTAGGATATTTTCATCGCGGTGAATGCTGCCGACCTAGAAGATGATCAGCCGCTCTCCAACTCCACTGCCGAAGCGTTACTTTCGGCCCTGACCTGAAAAATGTCAAAAGTCGACCATCGACCAAGCAGAGAATTTCAAAGCTGATGCAACCTGCAAGTGTCCAAATTTCCACGTAGACTTTGCCAGGTGGCGAGGGAGATGCTGGGGGCTGATGCCGAACTGGAGTGCCAACAGACTCCATTCCCGGCAGTGCCTTGGCCCAGTCTCAATTTTCCGACAGTGGCATCATTCCCGATGTTTGCTGAGGTGAAGGTACCAGGATTGAGCTTACAACCCATGCTTGTGCAGCAAGTCCAACAGGCTGTGCTTAGAATATCCGGTAGGCTGTCATTTTAAAATTCTCAGAATGCGACGGGTTTTTTGGAATGTTGGCTGCTTTGCAGGAGGCTCCACTACTATGTCATGATATTGTGCAAAGTTTTCCAGTAATTTGCATGCTCGTGGCTTTGTTAGCTCTCAAAACTAGGATTTAGAGGTCAGGGCTGAGGCTAGGGCCTTGGGCCCGGCCAACCAATGATTCATGAGACTTGGCTGCATTCGGGATAGCATGAATGAAGAGCTGTTTGCGGGAGGGCTTTGCCACATGGTTCGGCATTCTGAGGAAGACACCGTGCCAGAGACAGAGGGTGCCGCAGCCTCAGATTCTTCAACTTCTGCGATTCTTTTTGACAGTTTGAGCCTGCAGGTTACATCTCAGAAGCTGACTCAACACCTCAGAGGTGCTGGCCTGTCCAGCCTGCATTCTGTTCTGGAACAGTTGGGCATTCTGACCTTCCATTGTGCCCTGGCACAGCGTCGCCGGCAAAGCTTGCTGGCTTCGAAAGCTGGATCCATCCTTCCCAGAGAGCCCAGAGATGAAGCGACGGAGCCATCTGCATTCGAGATTTCAATGTGTCCAGGTGTCCTTGCATATCAACGTCCAGTGATTTCTGGGCAGAACTCCCCCCAGTACAAGTACCAAGTTGGTAAGAGATATAGGAGGGTGAACATAAAATAGGCTTGCAGAGGTCAGCTTTACCACTCGTGCCCTTTGGATAATTGATTGTGTCTTGCTACATGCGACGAGACAATAGATTTAGTATGGAATCAAATATCCGAGTCATTCAAATATGCTCGAACAAGATGTGGCATTCAATTTAGAGATCCCAACAAGTTCTGATCCAAACTGGACCACGTGCCGTTTGAGGTTTGAGCTGTGCTGCATCCAAGGCCTTGGGCAGCTCAATGAGGAAGAGCTTCAGGAGATCTGCGGCCGGCTGAGGGCGGCGGGCTTCGGCCCAGGCCATGCCTGTGCCTTTCGCAACCTCTGCCATAGTGCTCGCGGTGCTCGGGTGACTTGGCTGTGATGTCGCAACATGTCGCAACCACTTTGCTTTGGCCTTGGAGGACTGTGAAGGCATTTGTGGGGACCCTGAAGTTGAGTCCACTGCTCAGGAAGATGCTGACGTATCCTCCGCAGACGTGCCCACCAGTGTCACGAAGCTGTCGCCCAAACTGCAGTTGTCACTTCAAAATTCCGGGCTGGTCCAGATACAGGCCACGCCCTGTTGCACCGTGACATGTCAATCAGCCAATTTGCAAAACCACGTCGTTGACCTCAAGGGGAGAGTAAAACTTTTGACTAAGAGTAGATAGTGGTCTTTCTTGCAGATGCCATGTGGCTTCACAATTTGCCAGATGGTGCTTGCTCAGAGTGGAGTGCGCTCTTGTCGCTGCTTAGCTGGCATGACATCAGTGGCTTTGGCAGAAGACTACTTCGGTTTGCCAACATGGAATCATGAAGGTTTCTGTTTTTTTAATGGAATCATGAAGGTTTCTTTTTGGGGAGTTTCTGTTTGCTGTGCCTCTTTTCATAATTTGCCTGTTGAAAGGCTGGGGAATTTAGACCATTGCTGACACCAGCCCACCAGTCTTGCTAAAACAGAGCCTGCCTTGCAAGAAGCAATGTACTGTACTTGTAGACACATGTTTGCAGGACACAGATGTTTGCAGGACAAAGGCGTTTGATGCACCTGCGCTCTCACTACAAGCACAATCGACAACTCTACAACATGCACGCACAAGTGCTGAACCACATCACACGCATTGCAGGAATCAGCGTGCTATAGATGCTATGGTCACAGTTTAGGCAAGCCCTCGGCAGCAAGACCAGATTCTCCTCACCTGATAAAGCCACATGGCCCAAGTTGCAGGAAGAGCTGCAGGAAGTCCGTGCGGCGTTGACCGTGGCCGGCTTTAACGAGAGCTGTCTACAGGCCAATTTACTGCGCCTCTTGTCGCGTCAAACACGACACGCCTTTCTGTTCCCAGGCCTTCATGGATCTGCAGCATGACACTGCGAAAGCTTGGCAGCACAAGTTGCTTGGACAACTGGACAACTCTTTTGGTTCTGCGGGTCTCTGGTGTCGTCCTGGTGTCTTGGGTGTCGACTTCCTGATCCCATTGTAGTTGCCATTGTGTACACTAACACAGGGCACCCCTGAAAGGAAAGGGCCATTGGGTGGCGCTGGACTCGTTGCGCAAGTATCATTGGTGGGAGGCTGGGGGCACTCGCGTGCTCACATAAGGTCGGCACAGATGCCAGAAGTTGTGGAAAGTGAGACGCCTGACAAGCGGGATGCTGCACACTCAGCTGAGGTCCGCTTGAGTTTTGAATGGTTAGTCGCGCATCAGATTAGCTTTCAGCTGCTTTGTTTTGGGGGTTGGAGCTGGCACAGGACAGGTACTTCATGGTAGTACCACAGATGAAAAAGAACCGGAGACCTTCTACTACACGGTTTTCAAAGAGTCCAGGTCCTCAAGGTTTGTTTTCAGGAGCGGCCTGGCAAGTGCCGAAGGCTCGAAGCGGTCGCTGTGGACAACGTTGACCGCTTCCTGGAAATACTGCAGACTTTCAAAGGGAAAGTCCTTTCAGACGCTCAGATCATCTCAGATTGGTTGAATGGAGTGAATTTTGGGTTTATGAAACTTGTTCTTCAGCCACTGCTAACGCATGTGCAGTCAGCCTTCACATCGGAGGATAGCGTGGAAGAGGAGTTGCGCAGTGCTTTGCAAGCCACAGTGCGCAAAGTGCCGCAAGAACGAGAAGAAAAGGCCCAGGCACGTGGCAGCAAGCTGATGCTGTGCTCTCGTTTCCCACGCTTGCCTATCAACCCAAAGGATATTATATATATATATATATATTATAGTGTATATATAGCTTCACCATTATCCGCCCCGAGCCACCGCAGTTGTGGCCAGCATTCCACTTGCCATCGGCCAACATGAGCCGTTTTGGCGATGTACCCCGGAGACGGTGCAACCACCAATACCATGAGGGCTCCCAGTCTCCGCCCTCGAGAAGCCAGGATGAAACACCTCCGCGGCCGCGGCTGCCGGTGAAATGTGTCAAAGGGGATGGAGAGCTTCGCCTCACACGCCAGCGGATCGAGAAGACCCTGTGCCACTCCAAAGCGATCCAGGCACAAAGGGGGCTTTGGGCGCTTCGTTTGCCTTAGCTGTTTGAGTTGGTTTTTGCTTCCCCTAGTTCCAGTGCAAATGTAGTCGCATGTTTCGCATGGTGCACCTGAACACACTTCCATGCAGCCACAAACAGCCATGCTGCCTTTGTTTCCGAAAAGGCGCTCCCAAATCCTCTGAAAGGTAGCATCAGCTGCCTGAGTTCAGGTGACTTCAGAGCACGCGTTGCAAAAAGGTTCATTTGAGGTTTCAATCTCAAGGATCAGGGCACCTACTTCATACTTCATACAGCCCCCATTCAAGTCGTCCTGTCATCCCACGGAAAAGCCTCCGGCCTTCCACCGCCGGCCACGGATCTGACGGACCTGATGGACCTGACGGACGGTGCGAGACGTTTTCCCTAAATAACCTGCGCAACTCAATTCTTGTGCTTCTGCATGGGTCCTGCATGGTCCTGCCCTTGAGCCCCTAGTAGCTTCTTGTTCCTAGTACCTAGTAGCATCCTGGCCATGTTTATTCTGCAATGCCTGGAATTTGAGGATCCCTTCAGCTGAATCCCACCTTTTGTTTTGCTGCTGCCCGAATCCTTTGTCGAGAGGGAAACCCTTTGGGGTCCAGACCGACTGTTTGTTGAATTTTTCGACCTTTGGTTCTGCAGTGGCCATAGATGACACCTGGCAGACGGTTCATGTTCATGTCATGAACACCCGCCCGTCGACTCCCACCTTTGCGATGTTGGAATGCCTTGGACATTCCAGAGGCGTTGCTTGTTTAGAGGCGGAGATTGTGAAGTATAGAGACAAAGTCTCTGGTAAGCTGGTCGAAGCCCGGGTTCCAACGACCTTGCTAGCGCTCCTGCGGCTACGAGCATCTTGCAGTGGAAAGCCCCTCTCGGATCAGAAGCTAGCGCGCATGGCGGTAGACGTGCCACTTGGTTGACAAGACTTCATTGACGGCTGAAAGAGGCTTTGGGTCCAGAGCACCAAGCTCCACACACCCCAAATGCTTCGAACCATGAATGCAACAGTTTACATGATGTGGGATGAGTACTATGGCAGTGTTTGCGACTATATGACGCAATTCCCATGCGTTCTGATTGTTTAAGCTCCAGGATGGAAGAGAACGCCTTCGATCCGGTCCGTGCGGTGGCTTCTTTGTCCCCTTCCTCTCTGCTTTGCCCGTCTGGCGCACTACGTGTGCTGGGCAGCGGCTTCATTGGCATTGTCTTCCTAGAGGAGGACACCTCAGAGTCGTCGATCAACGCTTCAAGACGAAGGATAATAGATGATAATAGTTACAGTAATAGTTTGATAGTTCATAGGCTTTCCCAAAGCATTCTTTTTTGTGGGGGCAGGTATGCAACGACAAGCTACGACATGCTACGACCAAACCCCTGGAGGAGACTGGGGAGGTCGTGAAAGTGATGCTGGATGATTTTGCCAAGAAGGAGTATGATCTCTGCCGCATTTTTGCTGAAGCGGGTCTTGGTCCTTCACCTTTGTCGCTGGAGGGCCCATGTTGTGTGCCCGGTGGGGAGCTCTACTGCATTCGCATGGAGCCCATTAGCCACACGCTCCATGGGCTACTGTGTGTGACTCGGAGTCGTTCCAAAAGAAACAGCGAAGAAACCAGTAGTAGACGAAGCCCACTGGAGTAGGGTGTAAAGACACCACAAGCGAATCGGTGGCGACACGAGTCGCCGCGGCCGCATGCCTCTTTTTGGCGCTTGAGCCCTCCCTGTCGGAAGGGGTGTTCTAAGCTCAGGACCGTTTCCACCTAAAATGCACAGCGTGCGTTTCACACAGGCGGTGGTTCTTGAAGAAACATGCCTTTCAAAAACC